AATTACGCTTTTTTTACTTTGACACAAAAACCTTTCAAATTGTTACATACATTCAACAAAGCTGGAAATTTTTTGAAATTTAAACTCTAGTTGGACGCATTTTAAGGCTTTTCTGACGATGATTTTTTCTTTTCTCGCACTTTCTCATCTTTTGTCTCCTCTTTCCTTCTCTCTTTTTTTCCTTTTTTTGCATTCAGGGGGGAGGGGGCTTGAGCCCCCCAAGCCCCCCCATTTCGTTTTTTATCGAAGGAAATTTGGCAACACCTGAAGGCTCACACGGCGTTTTTCTTAGCACGGCAGAAGAGCTATCCTATTTTTTTCCGTCGAGTTCCAAATTTTCATGAGCTGCGTTTCTCTCAACGCAGTGTGTATAATTATGATTGACGAATGACACATTCTACTGCGGCTTTTCTGGTATAAAGTTTAGACCTGGTATCATGTGTCTAGTATTTCTGTCTTTCGCGTTATTGAATGCAGCAGTGACTGACAATATGACTTTAATGGCCATGACATTCAGAGCTGACGTCAGATACATTAGCCTGGGCCTACCTTTTGTGTATGTAAACCTCCGACTATTCCTTTTGACAGATGGACTGCACTTTGCAATTTGGAACTATAGATTCTGGCTCATCTGAAAAAAACACTTATGTGCATAGGGAAACCAATGGCACATATGTTGTTTTTAAACCGGGCCAGAATTTATAGTTCCAAATTGCAAAATGCAGTCCAGATTATTTTCAAACATCGCGCGGGGTCATTCGAACACCTACGCTGCCGTGCTAAGGAAAAACGCCGTACAAGCCTTCAGGCGTTGCCAAATTTCCATCAATAAAATACAAATTTTCAAGGAAACTGTCGGATTTTTTTCTTCAAATTTCTCAGACAATTTTGTGCCCAATTTAATCTAAAATATCCGAAAATTTCAAGGAAAAACATGCATAACATTCCTCAAAAATACGTGTTTAATCCGGAGAAATTTGGCAACTCTTGAAGGTTTATACGGCGTTCTTCCTTGGCATGGCAGTATGAAGAAACACTGCTAAGACGCGTATCATGTTTGCGGTGTTTCAAAATCTCCACTCCCATTTTATTTGATAAAAGAAGAAAGCACTAACACTTTTGATTGGAAATTTCACAGAATATAATTCACAAGGAGGGGATTAATCAAGGGGCTTTTCAAGAAATGACGTTCAGAAGTTTTCTATTTAGAAAGTGATTCACAACTGGAGGTCTGTGGCGTCACACACTGTGATATACGCTAATTTTGTAGTTTTACCGCCGACATTGCGTCGTGCCTCATAGGCTTTTAAAATATTACCGTGGTTTGAAGTTTTTACACCTGCAGTCTCTGTCAAATGTGATGAATAAATCTTTTGACGAGTAAAAAATGGAGCCTAGTACGCGTCAACTTTTCTATGGGTGGAAAAAAGGGGGGGGGATGCGAGCATTGTTCCCAGCATTCCTGATACCTTTTTGATTTTTCTGTCTGTTGAAAGTAGTAAACTCATTGTCACTTCTCGAACCAGCGATTGAGCTCTAACAAGGATTTGCGACTCAGGTACTTTTCTACTTGAAATATCGCCTAAAAATACAATGGTTTGACTGGTCTCCTCTGAATAGGGCTATCAAGCTCAAAAAAAAACTTTCAAAGTTGAGGCCGTAAATTAGGGATCGCTTTCGTCACAGTCGGTAAGAGTCTGCACCTCTACATCCAGCCGAACTCACCATGCAGAGAGAGGGAGAAAATACAAAAGCAATGTTGTCACTTTGGTTGGGGATTTAAGGGATGGATTCAAGAAGGCTTTCCTTCACTATGAATAAAGTTTTTGACTGGACTCTCACCGTAAAGTCGGTAATTCCCTTCATTCCAGCCTCAACATTGAAAACTTTTTTGAGCTTGAGAGTTCGTTTCAACGAAAAGCAGTCGCACCGCATCGAGTTTCTCGTGAGAAAATGTATTTCAACCGCAAATTCCTGTTGCACGGAATAGCTCTATTTTCATTTTGTAAATATGATCGTCTACGGAGACTGGACCCTACGGCCCCCTACATTAGCTTACGTAGGCAATATTTTCACCAATGCACAGTGGATCGAGTCAATAGGAGAGGTCGGACAAATTGCAGAAACTTTAAACGCTTATAACTCTGTTCATACAAAACTTTGAGGTTTTAAAATTGGTGCCACTGATTTTCTCGTAAAATTTTCCTGTCGAGGCACCCATTAAAATTCAAAATTTGACAAATGAAATACTTAATGATGTTTGAGTAAAAAATTTAATGCTCGACCTCTCTGATTAGCTCGATCCACTGTGCGGTGGAGTTGGGTCTGTTAAGTTCGTTAACTTCGTTAAGTTGGGTCAAAAAGTCAGAATATGAGAATTCGAAAGCTTCCTCCTCTATCCTGCTTTCTTGGGGAACTTGCTGCAGTTTCAATCCAATGCGTTGTAATTACAAGGTAAAATAATTATCAACGGAGCAATTTATGGCAAGCTGAGTGAAAAAATCGGATGATGAGATTTCGAAGAATTGTCCTCAAAAGTATCCCCCCCCTCTCTCTCTCTCTCCCTCTCTTTCTCTCTCCCTCTCTCTCTCTTTCGAGGAACTTTCTGCGGTTGCAACTGTGCTTGTGATACACCAAACTACAACAGTAAGAACAACCTTAGTTCCGTTTTAAGTTGTTTTTCTAGTAAGAACAACAAAATCACTCGAATGCAGCAAAGTATCCAAGTCTGTCAGCTCAGCACCGATCTCAGCTCCTGTTGATATCAAAATATTATTGGAGTTAGATTGTTAGATTTATGTGGTTTATACAAAAATTAAATCCATCAATAAAATTAATAGTTATGAAAAACATAGGTATAATTATAACGGCAACAGAAAAAGAATATGCATTTAAAAAAATAGAAACCTATTATGAAACGAATACAAATTTCGACAGAAATTGTATTTATAGCTAGCCAGAATAGATTAAAAATAGATAGATAAAAAAGCACAGAGCATTCAGCGGGTGAAAGGAACTATGGTCAACATAGAGGGCTTATCGGTGTTGGCGGACATTTTCAGTTAGCAATAAAAAACCGGAACTCCACATCAAACACATCGCTCTGTCTAGAGTAGGTAGCCTGTTTGACTGAAGCATGATACTTGAGTGGGTGGTTCAAACGCGAAGTGTCATTTCTAACAATGTTACCGTCATAATGAAACAATTCGACGCTCCTTTGACCTAAGAGCATACCTCAAATTCCATGTGAGCCCTGTTCTTCTTATAACTCTTTTCTCTCCGAGGCTCTTTCGGAAATAGAGATACGCCTTAACGTCAGAGAAGCGACGATTTAACGCAGACGAGACAACGGGAAAAATCAACAAGTATTAAGTGCCTGGTCCTCGTCATGCGCTGATCACATTTTCTAAATACTTCACATTTTTCAGGTTCTTTCTTCTTAAAGGGCTCAGACAGGAAGAATTTTTTTAAGTCTTACTTGAAATGCAATTTTCATATATCACGATGTTACGTTTAAACCGGAATAAAATAAGTAAAAAATAAAAAAATAAATGCAATTTATTACTGCATGCCAATTAAGTCACAATAATCTTTCGATCGCATCGGGGCCTCTCACGATCATTCCTCCTTGAGTCCAAACATAACTGAATCAGTGAGTTCGAAAACACACCAACTCGGGAAAAAAATTGTTCAGGAAACACCTAAAACTGCGCAGCGGGCGAAGAAGTTAGTTTGAGAAAAACCTTTTTGATGCCAAAAGACAAGTACTTAGAGACTTTGTAAAGCACCAAGTTGAAATCGATACACCATGTTTAATGATAGAAAATTAAGCGTTTAAAAATTTCCGAGTAGGTGTGTTTTCGTTCTCACCGACTTTCAGATACTGATTTTTCATAGTCTGCCCTGAAAAATGTATATTTTTCGACCTGAATAACGCTTGGATATTTATATAACTTGTTGGTACGAGGTATACTGAACCGAAAAGAGAAAACCGCAAAATCGGATGGTCACCCGTTTCCCTTGAAATGGCCAAAAATTGATATTTCCAATAAAATACTTCGATTCTTCCCTTTTCCCGTCGCTGTTTCGAGCACTTCCGACTGCAATGGGCCTGTTGCATGCAAGAGATACAGCCGTGCGAATAGACTTCCTGGAGGTTAAATGACACGGAAATTACGATGGTCACATTAAAAAAGTCTGAAATACACTCCTTACTGCGCAATTTGCGTTGTTAGGAACGCGCTTTTTCAAATTTCCCGCGTCTGGGGGCAGTTTTCTGACGGAAACAATTAACGGCAACTCGCGGCTATTTCCGGTAAACTAAAACTACAACATAACCTAAAAATCGGAGCTCGTGATATCGTGAAATGAAATGTAGAAGGATTGTGTTGGATATTTAAAAGTTGATCGATTCGGTTACCGCATAAAGCGTGTATGGACCACTATAAGAGATCACGTTGGGTTTGTAAACAAACTGAAGGAAAAAATAACAACAACAACAACAACAACGACTCGGCATCTTCCGGAAATCACCGTGCCCGCAGTTTGCTCGTTTCCGGTGATTAGAAAACTGCCCCCAGACGCGGGAAATTTGAAAAAGCGCGTTCTTAACAACGCAAATTGCGCAATAAGGAGTGTATTTCAGACTTTTTTAATGTGACCATCGTAATTTCCGTGTCATTTAACCTCTAAAAAATCTATTCGCGCGGCTGTATCTCTTGGATGCAACAGGCCCATTTCGAAATTTTCTTTTGCGTGCAGATGATTCTATCCATAAGTGTTACTAAACCGTAAAAAAGTGAAAATCGAAAAAAACCCGAGTTGGTATGTTTTCGAACTCACTGATTCAGTTGCCGTGATAGCGAAGAGAGCAGTGCCTAAGTGCATTTCTGTATGAGCCATTAGCGCATGCTGTTTTATGTGTCTTGAGGTTCCGCCCAGCATGCACTTACTGCTTATTCGCTATCACGGCAGATAAGTGCGTAATCGAAATCAATTACCATATTATGAAAATAACCTCACGGGTGGGGATCTCACTTGCATGTGCGACTTTTGAACGTTGGTAATCGCCACTTGAATCAACATGATAACCATGAGCCAAAAAATAATACACTCAAAGTTCGTAACAATTTCATTTCACGCAGTCACCAGTTGAAAGGAGTGTGAGTTTTCAACCATGGTTTCTTCGGTTTTTTCCTCTTTTGAACCTCGAACACCAATCGAAGTGGCCGGGTTGTTGGCCGAAATCCACAACGATCCCTCTGAGAAAAAAGTGGATCTACTATCAGGAGGTGAGGCCTTTTTACACAATAGAAACTACGATAGGGCGATATGTTTTTATTTTAACGGTGAATTATAGGAGGGGAAAACAATATTACCGATACTTTGCTGGTTTTCACTAAGATCAGTCTGACTGCATTAGAGCCTAATTTGCACTCATATTTTACTTTTTTCAACGAAAAAATAAAGCAACTTCTACTTCAAAATTTTGTGCGTCCATAGTACAGGAGAAATTCATTGAGAATTGGACGTATTTCTGCCGAACGGAACTATGTGCATTATGATGTGAGCCATGTTATGCATATATTCTTATGGTTCTTAGGGCTCATATCTTCATGCACATAGTTCCGTTTGGCAGAAATACGTTCACTTGTAGTCTCAAAGAACTTGAACGATCAATTCAATACTCATGTGCGGTAAAATTTTCTTGATTTTGAGAAAACCGATTTGAAGTTGAAAAATTACACATAACTCCAAGGCTTGACGAAGCTGGCGAAGTGAGAACAATAGTATCGAGGTGAGATACTTACAACAATTCAAGATTAACTTCACCCACTCGAAATTATCAGCATTTCTGTTTCGCTAAACAAGTCAAAAGAGTATTCATGCATGGACGTATCCATGTGATTATTGCTGTTACGTATCCGATAACAATGAGTGTTATTCCTTTAAAAAAATTTAAACGTAGCTAGACATTTTTAACTTCCTTTTAATAAGAGACTTTTTTTTAATCCCCCGCCAAAACAAATATGTTGGAATGGACGCTCTATAATGTTCTCCTGAAGTGTCAATGAAACTACTCCGTCGCGTTCGTCGTTCTTTGTTTCGTGTCAACACGCACTGAAAAAAAAAGATTGGTAGAATTTACCATTCCTTCACGCTGTATTTCACGCAGCGTGAAGAAATGGTAAATTCTACCAATCTTCAAGTCGATTCTGCCAGAGGTATGGTTACCTGTACCAGTATATAGTTACGTGTACCTTTCTTCTGGCAGAACTGACGCTATGTGAAATACAGCGTGAAGGAATGGTAAATTCTACCAATTTATTTTTTTTCAGTGTGTGTTAGGAAGGGTCACGCCATAGCTCATGCACGTTTCAGGAGGACAACGGTGTGATACACTCAGGCAATCAAACATTATTCGGAAAATTGACATTGTCACAATAAAAATCAGTAATAATTTACTCCATCGGCACAAAAGGCAACGCTGGAATTAATTTAGGCGTAAGAGAAACAAGCAAACGCTCTCGGTTAGTATCGTATGCGACGAACACTGAACAAATTTCAGTGCAACGCTTGGATGACACTATTCGAGCTTTACGGATGTCCGTGTTGCATACGCACGGAGTGGAAGGCGTTTTGACTCTCCAGGCACTACCGCTTTACTCGCGGCGTGGCTGCAACGGGCAGTACCGCGAAGATACAAAATAACAGATCACCTTCAATTCCTTCTTTATACTACTAAGACATCTCTTAGTCACGAATAATTTTACACGGGCGTAGGTTCTGATGTCTAGGAAATATGTTTGTGAAAATTACACAATGAATGCTCTGCTCTTTCCATATTGAAATGGGGCTACGTCCCTTCACATCCTGGCTTCATAATGACGGGCGTCACAGAATCGTTCCATGAAATCTTCAGAAAACATTTTATGAGTGCACATTTCAATAAATTCGTTTTTGCGGAAGAGTTAAAAAAGAGGCCAATCAGCAATGTTTGTCCCATTGAGGCAGGACCCAAAACTTGTAGAAAAAATATCTAGCGTTACTGATTGCTTTAGGGTGTAGAATGGGAGCACCAGTGCACCCAGTTCATAAATAATGAATCGAAACGACGAAAAATTTAATGGAGAGTCTCCTTGGGGGACCGGTCGAGCGTTCCTCGCATAAAATTCTACGTAATGCGATGACAAAAATTACGCACGTTTTTCTTCCCAAGTTTCGCTTGATTTAGGTATTTGCGCGGTTTTAGGGTAAGTCTTGACCCTCTGGCTTTGCGCTTTGAGGTTAGATATTTTTCACTTTTGGGATTTGCGCTTCTGAAAGCACTTTTGGATACCATCCGCAGTGATATACTCATCTTAAATTTTGTCTTTTTCACTTCTAGTCGCCTTTCCCTATGCCTGGTCACAAACACTGCCGCGCTAAGGAAAAACGCCGTAAGAGTATTCAGATATTGCCATTTTTCCTTCAATATAAAGCGAATCTACTTGGAAAATTCTGGATATTTTTCCTCCGATTTTCCAGAGATTTTTGTTCACAATTTCATCTACAACATCTAAAAGTTTTAAGGAACAATACGCGTTACTTTCCGGAAAAATAAACATTTTATCGAAGGACATCCGACAACTCTCGAATGTTCATACGGCGTTTTTCCTTAGCGAGGTAGAATAGCCATTCCTCATTACAGTGTTAAGTCCAGTTGATGTTTTGTTCTTACGCTGTGTACAGTGGTGTGACGTGCTTTGCACTATAGAGATGATCTGGCATTTAAACCTATGGAAAAGAACCGATAAACAGGGTGCTCACAGCGGACACCTTAATAATCGATTCTTTACCGTAGGTTTAATGGCATAAAAATCGATACATCGCAATTCACGCCACTAACTGTTTGAAGAGTAAAGTATTGGTTTTCTAGGTGAGGGATACCATTTTCTCTGATTACAGCTTATCGGACAGAGGAACGAAAACCATGGGTTTTGCCTGTGGTCAGGAAAACTGAAATTATGCTAGCTAACGACGGCAATACTTATCATGAGTATGGACATTTTCTGGGCTCCACAGAGTTCAATTCTGCTACCACCTCCTTTCTACTGGGTAAAGAATCCATTGCCATTAAGGAAGAGAGGGTAAGAGAATCGTTTCCACACGCTACCTCCAACGAGTTACTCTTAGTTTCGAAGTCAATTTTTTCATCTCTAGCGCATAAACATATGAATAAAAAGGAGAAATATTTTAAACATGCCGATTTACAGACAATTAGGTATTATAGGACGTATAGGGCAATGCAAATTAGGTCAGAAATGATGAACCAATTACTTAATTCTTCAGTTATGAGGGTCAACTTAAGGCGAGTCTGAGTGTCCAAAAATGACTTTCAAAACATCGTCACCTTCCGGCCAAAGTATCAGAAGCACCGAACGGCGTTTCAAAATTTCCGCCGCCATTTTATTTTATCACCGAAAAATTGTTCAACGAAGCTGTCTGAAAATTTCACTGAATTTTCTTTGTGCTGCTTTCACAATATGGGGAAGTTACCAGTGACCGGTCTCCAAAATACATGATTGTCTCTGAACACACCAGGGCAGAAATCTCTAGGTTGTCGTTGTCGTGTGGTGTTTCGAGGCTTTTCCGGCCGGATTCCGTAGGCCTGTCATTCGGATTTTCTAAACTTGAATTGGAACATTTTTCTTTTGTATCAGAGAGGCAGAATAGATTATTCAAGAAAAATGCAAAATCATATAAAGTGTGAGGTAAGATAGGCAATTTATACATTACACTTTTTTGTTACATGGATGAGGGTGTTAATTTTTAACATACATTCGTTACAGACATTGAGCGTTCAGACACTGGGTGCCACAGGGGCTCTCTCCATTGGCGCTCGGTTTCTAAGGCAGTGTTTGGGACGTACACACTTTTACTTATCTGACCCTTGTTGGGGTGAGTCTAGCGTTTTCTTTTGTCTAAATCTTGAGGCTTATATTTTTCTACATGCAGTCATTCGAGAATCTCGTGCGGTGAAAAAATTGATTTAAAACCGTATCTTTTGTATTTCAAAAAAATGTATTTATCAACTAAATTTTCATATTCCCAACTCTATTTTTTTAATTTAAAAAAAAATTCTCTTTCGAGAAGATTTTTTAGGAAGGAAGAAATGTCTTTCAATTAAGTAAAGCTTGTTTTCCAGTTAAAAGAAATGCACCTACATTTTCGTTGATAGAAAATTTAACTTTCTTTAGAAAAAATGTATTTATATTAAAATACTTTTTCCCGTTCAAAACGTTTTTGTTAATGACGAATCATTTTCTCTCCAAATGAGAAAACCTCTGAGGTTAAAGTCAATGTTTTTGTTACTGAATTAAAAACCAACTTTAGCAGTTTTTTTTGCTGTTAACTTAACTTTTTCAATGTACCTCAAAAGAGAACTAAAATGAACCCTAAATATTTCATAATGGTAATAGCGTCCATTCATTTATTTATCTTTTTAAGGGTCCATTCTTTTTTAAAGAATCGATTCTAAAAGGTACAGCCTTATTCGATACATAGGTATCAATTGCTAAACACTTATGTGGAGACCAAGTGCTGCTTATTGACAAGAATCGAAACTGATTCAAGAAAAAGAAGAGGAATAAAAACTCGCGCGGCTGTCAGACGGAAAATTTAGTTTATCCTCAAACATGACACTCCTGTCAGATGACAAAGTGAAATGTTAAAAAAAAAACCCAAAAAATTCTTTTTTTTTAGTTTTACACTTTTGGAAATTCTGCCACATGGTATTACGTTTTGAATCTGGCTTGCACATTTGCAGAGTTCCACGAAGCACTATTCATGCAAGCGGGTTTTGTAAAAAGCTCACGTTACCGGTATTGGAATGCAGAGAAAAGATGCATTGACATGGATGGACTCTTGGAGGATTTGTCAAAGGCAGAGCCAAATTCGGTTGTTCTACTCCAAACATGTGCGCATAACCCGACTGGGTGTGATCCCACCCCCGAACAATGGGCCAAAATAGCTTCGATCATGAGGGTACAGTTTCAATAAAATTTACGTTTTCAAAAACACTTTTTCAAATTATTGAAGTGAACTATCCAACTAAACACCGTACCGATAGAAACGAATCTTAATCTGGAAAGGCAGACAAAATTTATAGGTATTCAATGCACAATACACGAAAAATGAAGGGCAAGGAGTTGTTGGATGATTTGGAAAAATCCAATTAATTGTGGTAATACCCAAATAAATTAGGTGACTAACTCAAAAGTTATACAATATTACCCCAACTTGAGTTGCGGTAGTACCAAATTAATTATGTAAATGTCCATATCATCCGACAAATTGGATCAGTGGGTACCGCAATTTTGGGGGATATCTCTTTTTTTCCGTGGAGAGTCTTAAAATCCACTCTAGCCCAAGATTTCCAAAGCCCGTGCTCCACATTTTGAAACCAATAAAGATGATTGAAAAACCATCTACTCTTCAAAAGAGGGAGGTATGAAAAATTATTGATTTTACCCAAAATTAGTGCTGATTGTGTTGCTGGACCACTGCAGTTTGATCGGGCTGAAAAATGTTTCTTCTACCCTATCAAAAATTGTTTTTCTTGGCGCAGCTCATACTCATTCAGAGAATTTTCGTCTATTTTACCCTAAAAATTTATGCTGTCAAAATTATATGTCACAAAAACATAGCATTGCGTCATTGAGGGTATAAGCACTTTTTTAAAACATTGACTTGATTGAAAATCTGTTTTCTGACCTCGTTATGCGCAGAAAAATAAACTGTTTCCATTCCTCGACATGGCTTATCAAGGTTTCGCATCGGGAGATATTGAGGAGGATGCAGAAGTTGTTCGCTATTTCGTTGACCAGGGTTTCGAGTTTATGTGCGCCCAATCTTTTTCCAAAAACTTTGGTCTATACGGTGAGTGTGAGAATCTATCACATAGTTTCTTCACAAAATAAGTAAAAAATATGCGTTTTTTCAAGCTACCCACTTCAAAAACGTTACTACGACACAGGTGAACATTCCGTAAGAGGAGTCGTTCTATCCAACTCTTACGCATTAGGATGCTACGCAATATTCAAAATGGCCGACGCCAACTACCCGCCAAAACACACGGGACGAGACGGAATTTTATCAATCAGAGTGTTAATCTTTACATTTTCCTTGCGTCGATTATAAAGACCAAGATTCTTCCTCACGATTTGCGCACGGAATCGTCGGCCATTTAAATATTGTGTAGCATCCTAGTGAGTTGCGCAAGGGTCGGATGGAACGACTCCTCTTACGCAATGTTCACCTTTGTCATAGTATCGTTTTTGAAGCGAGAAGCTTAAAAAAACGCATATTTCTTACGCAGATTGTAAAATTAGGAGTATATTTCATACTTTCCCTATGCGCTCATCGTGCTTTTTGAGCCATTCTCTGCAAATAAAAACTCCTATTTTTGCCGCAGCTGAAGTTTGCAACAGGTTCATAGCATTGAGATAATATGTTTTAGTAAAGTAATATTTAATAATCATTTTTCAAAGGACAAACGAATACAAAAAGTTTCGTGAATATATTTGTGATGGTTGCGTAGAAGCGCAAATCTAACTTCGACTCTGCCCCCATTCGTCGTTCTTATGATTTAAGGGTAGGGGCCATAGTCCACATTTCAGAGAGGCAAAGTTTTAATAAATTTAAACAATCAATTTTTTTTTTTCGGAAAACTGCCAGTATAAGAGTCGGTGATAGTTTAGCTTGATTGCTATAAAATGCAACGCTGGAATGAAGTTGAGAGGTAATGAGACAAGGTAACCGCCCTCAGTTAGTATGGCATGCGACATGCACTTAAAGAATTCAATTATAATGCATTGATACAACTATTCGAACTTCACGGATGTCCGTGTTGCATACGTATGGAATTGAAGGCGTTTGATGCTCCAGGCACTCACCGCTTCATTCGCAAAAAGAAAGAAATAAAATGAGAGAAAGAATCGAAGGATAACTTGTCACTCTTACTTAATGTTTGTATTACAGGTCAGCGAGCCGGAAGCCTCACTATCGTTTCAAATTGTGCTCATACAATTCCGCATATCGTATCCGAGATGATTCTCATTGCTGGAGGAAATTACATGGTTCCACCCCTTCATGGAAGTAGAATTGTTGCAACAGTTTTGAACGATCCAACCCTCTTTGAAGAATGGTAATGATATTTATGCATCTTTTTTACTGTTTTATAAATCAATAGTGCAAACCGGAAGGGAATCACAGAGGAAAAAATAAAAACCGTGAATAAATCAGAAATTGAGTCCAAGAGAGACAGATGGTACTCAGAGAGAAGAGGTTTGCGGGCAACTTAATCAAACATTGTACCGATAGGGCTGCAAAATTTGATTTTCTTGGTATCCCATGTTACCATGATTTTATGTAGACATTAAAATGGATTTAATGTTGTATTTATGACGTGCAAGTGAATCATAAATATAACTTTAAATTATTAAGTTCTTGTGCGAATCCGACCGTAACGATTCAAACGGACGAAAGTACTTACTTGAATTTTTTTTTAATTCTGCCTACTTTTCACTGACAGGGAAAGATGCGTTACAACTATGTTCGACCGAATAATAGCGATGAGAACAGGCCTTAAGAAGAGATTAGAGACCTTGAAAACACCAGGTTCTTGGGACCATATTACATCTCAGCGAGGCATGTTCTGTTTCATTGGCCTAGCACGTAAGTACCCATCACAATTTTACGGATAACTCTGATTCAATTCAGGCTTAGATGGTTCAAGATTGGTAAAACATCACCTTCGTCAGTTATGAAATTATCTTTGCAAAGGGACAATCGCCTGAGAAAGATGTTGTCATTACCATAAAACTTCTTTGTTTCCATTAATTTGTTGTTCCAGTTATTTCCGTTGCACGAATTGTGCTGCACGTGAAATTTTGGTCGAGGAACAAGTATCATAACCTTGTCTAGTGGTCTATTAGGCGAATTTTCCCGAGTGGATTTAGTCAAAGGCGGACTGACGCCTCGAAACAGCCTGGGAAATCGCCAATAGACCGGTCCATCGCGGTGCCGCGGTGAAGCCCCCCCCCCCCTCCAATTCCTCGATATTAGGCATGGGCGTACCTAGATCATTTTTCAAAAATTGCCGAAGTTAGGTTAGATTGCCAAAGTGCATTTTTTTAAATGTGATACCAAGAACATCTCCCTGAAAATTTTGCCACATTTGTGATTAAAAAGCGTCGACTTTGTTTCCCTAGAAGTTGTCTATGTTCGGCATTTTCCGGACGATAGAACGTAACAGCATACCAACTTGAAAAATTTCCACTCGTAAATGATACTTTCACCAGAAAACTTACAGGATCGGAAAATCTCAAAAATCCTATGATCCTATAGGATTTTAAAATGCACGGCGTGCACTGTCCGGAAATGTGGGCACCGGCACCGCACCAGGGTAGGTTCGAGTACATCAAGAAAATACGACTCTTCGAAGACATGAGCGCGCACTGTGGTAGTGTGGTATACGTGCAATGTATGAAGTATCCTGCCGACTTGCAAGGGGCTACTATGCGCGGCGCCGCGCACCGTGCTGTACGCGCAATGCATGAAGTATCCTGCGGTCTTGTAAGGCGCTGTGCGTTCCGCGCCGTGCACTCAAGTCCCGAGCCGGCCGCACTGTGTTAGACGCGATTGATCGAACCTGCGGCGTCAGCTTTTTTTAACTTCTAATTTTGAAGTTTTTGTGCAGTTTGTTAGAATTATTGTCATATCAAATGATTATACTATTCATTTACAAATTTTCATAAATAATTTTAAATAGAAGCCTGCAAATGAAACGACTTTTACCGGTGGGCTCTCTCGTTGCTCAGCGATGTAATGGACGTAATCATTTGGACTACATTTTGCTATTCGGAACTACAATTTCTGGATCATCTGTAAAAATACTTGTGTGCATAAAAAAAACTTTCTCGATACGCTAAGCTGATTTTTGACCAATCTTCGTGAGGCACCAACTCTTTTTCTCGCTTCAGCAATCTTTTAAAGCAAACCCTTTTCGTAAGGTCACAAACCGTATTAGTGCCGACCGAGGTACCCGAGTATGCCTGTATTTGCATCACACTACACCCGCTGATCAACTGAAATTTTTATCCCTTTTTCTAGCCGCTCAAATCGAGTACTTGAGAAAAAAGCACCATGTCTATACACTGAAAAACGGGAGGATGAACATCGCAGGACTGACAACCACAAACTTGGACCACGTCGCCAGAAGTATTCACGATGCAGTCTTGAATGTGAAAGGATAGAATGATCTCGATCAAGAATGAAAGTCGATATGTCGATGGTAATTAGTCGAATCAGGCATTTTATCAAATGCTTCGGCCGGTAGTTAAATTTTGAAAGTTTACGGAATTCTGTAAATTTTAGGCGAGGAGTTCACGGGTTTTCAATATTGCAGGAAAAACAAATGAAGAATAAAAGATCCGCTAACTCTTCTCGTTCCTTCCTTTTCAAATGCCTCTCGTGTATTTAAATGCTAAAATTTTAAAAATTCTATGTTTTATGACGTGCTGACAATTTCAAGATACATTTGAGTTCAGGAGCTAAAAATCGTTTAAAATACTACTGTATGCTGCATATTTTTACAGATAATTCTTTCTTAAAGGAGCAACGAATTATTTTTTTCTAAAATTAGGAAAATAATCAAAATTTCAATCTAAGTAAGAATATTTAACTATTTGCCTAGGGATTTGACAAAATGCCTGATTTGACTATTTGACTGCGACAGATATAAAATTAAGCTCATTATTTGATACAGTGGCGAGGCGCGATCGATTATCGATATTTCCCCATTTGAAGCTATGGGAAAGAATCGATTATCAAGGTGTTCGATGCGAACATTCTGTTCATCGATACTTTTCCATGGGCAGATCAATCGATATATCGCAAAGCACGCTTCGCCACTGATTTGATAGGTTATTCGTTGTTTAATTGAACAATGTCAAATGTATGTAACATGAAAAATAAGGCTAGTTTTTCAAGTTGTTGAGACGTTAGATGTCACCGAAGTAGATTCAGTTGAAAAATTAAAATGTTAATCAAGTTATACTTCTGATCGATTATTCTTAATTTTTCGAACATTTTTTCAATGTTTTAAGAATGTTTGTTCCAGTTGGAACTAAGTTTATCCATGAAGATAAAAAAAACGGACGTGGAAGTAAAAATAGTATAAAAAAGGAGGGAATCATATATGGAACTGTAGAATAATTAAACTCAGCAATAGTCTACACGCAAAAGGCAAAAGGAATTATTCGTTATCTTAGAGTTTTCTGGGAGAACTGTTGCAGTTGAGCACTTTCAATAGCATTATCCATAAAAACTCATTTCCCCCGTTCGATTTTGCCTTTCTATCTCTTTATCTTTGGAAATTATCCAAAATCGTCCATGTTTTTTTTTCTGCTGGTTTAATGGCTTCGGGTCTAGCACCTTCAGCCAACTTTAGACAATGTTTGGTGTCTGTAGACAACGTGGGATCTCCATGCTCCAGGCTTTTCCAATTTTCAGGGATTAGGGCCAAAGAGAATCTGTTTCGGCAGATCTACTCGTCAATTCCGTGAAAATTAGACGCCACCACCGGGATTCGAACCCGGGACCTACTGACCTAGAGCCAGACCCGCTGACCACTAGGCCAACCTGGCCGGCTGTCCGCATGTTTGTAGCTTTTTTTCTTTAAGTATTACCTAAGGATATCAATGCAGCCAAATCTAGGGTCGGGGAGAGGGGAGTCAACTTTGCTGAGAGCAAGTAAAAATGTCCTGGGAAGGGACAAAATTTCAAAAAATGCCTTGGAATCGATCAAAATTTCCTTCAAAAAATATTATCTCCCCCTCCCTGAGGTAAATACAAGGCAAATGACGCATCCAACAACATTGAGAAAAAGTAATATGACTTATAGACACATTAGTGGTTCATATGGAACACCACTTATAGTAGTAAAGGCAACATATAATAATAGCACATACACCTTAGTGATGGCAAATGTACCTTCATAGAGGGTACGAGATACCTTAGTATGGTTCACAGACCGAGAATCATTATTTCATTAGTGGTGTTCCATATGAACCGCCAATTGGCTTATAAAGCCAAACATTTTTCTCCGTGAATCCCATGTGATTACGATAGAGGTGAATTTTTTTATTGTAACGTTCACAAATAAAATTTTGTTTTTTGAATACGTCTATCTTCATTTTTTCACCAGTGAGGGTTTGAAAAACACAATTACGTAAGAGAGCTTTTACGATTCAATTATAATTAATACACGATACACATATTCAATACAAGGTCTCTTAAAAAATACTTAATATTAAAAGTTAGCATTCATGAATTTGATCAATGAAAACAGATTGTGCAAGATAAATACTGATGATTTATCATCTAGCATAAAAAATAAATTTAAATCTCTTCTTTGATGTAACTTTTCACGACATATCTGAGTTTTTAATGAACGAAATTTAACTTATATATTTACGATGCACAGCAGGCAAATTCAGATTGCTCATTAAACCGCGGCATTATCGAAATGTATTGTCCTCAAGCATTTTATTTTACATTTTACCTAAAAAAATATGCTTGAGGACAATATATTTCGACAATTTCGCGGTTTAATGGGCAATCTGAATTTGCCTGCTGTGCATCGTAAATATAAGTTAAGTTTCGTTCATTAAAAACTCAAGTATGTCGTGAGCAAGTCTGCGGTCACTCGGAAATAGTTTCAACGATTATAAACTACAATTTTCACGAAAAATAAAATTATGTTTGCATAAGTGTGGATCTTTAAGCAAGGAAAAACCACCAAACAAAACTTGCAGGTTGTAAAGGAAAACGATGGTGCGCAAGAGAAATGTAGTTTACTTTTCTAACCTTTCGTTAAGGTCTCCCTGTTATAAGTATATGGCCCCCGTTTCTCATTGAAGATTTGGTAACCAGTACGAAACTGCTGACTGTGCGTTATCACGCGTGATATCGTGACATCTTATGACTAGGGACCAGACCTGTGGCGAGGCGTGAATGATCGATAATCGATTTTTCTCCATTTGAAGCTGTAGTAAAATATCGATTATCAAGGTGTTCGTTGCGAACATCCTGTTTATCGATCCTTTTCCATAGGTTTAAATGGCAGATCAATCGATATACCGCGAAGCACGCCATGTCACTGGCTCCGAGCAGGATTCGTCACCATTTGAATTATTCTTTTTTCACGTGGGAAGTGAGCAGGTAGGTAGGTAGGTAGGTAGGTAGTACTGCCGTGCTATGGAAGAACGCCGTATGAGCCTTCAGACGTTGTCATGTTTCCTTCAATAAAAATTGAATTTACAGGGAAAATTTTGAATACTTTTTCGCATAAAACCTGTGTTTCGGAGAAAAGTTATGCAAACTTCTCTTTGAAATTTTCAGATAATATTGCTCGCAATTTAATCTAAAATTACTGAGAATTTCAAGGAAATATGCATTACTTTCCTCAAAAATACATGTTTTATCCGCGAAATTCGGCAATTTTCGAATGTTCATGCGGCACCCTTCCTCTGCATGGCAGAGTAGGTTTATAACGCTTAGTCTCCACGGGACGTTTTACGGGATTTTTCCCAAGTTCGAATCGCATGAGACTTATGAGCTTTTTTCCCGTTAAACAACACAGCAAAATTTATTCTTCCTTTTTTTAAGTCGTTCCTGGGACTCCACAAGGACTCTTTGTTAGTGCTGTGATTAGTATTAACCAACTCAATATTTTTCCCAACTTCGCAAGTGAGATTTCCCTGGAACAAATCCCATGAAAAGTCCTGTGGAAACAAGGCATAAAGAGGTAGGTTGAAGAGAGTATGAAGAGCGTTAAGGTGATTCGTCAAGCTCAAATGACGTGGTCGAACTGGCATGCGATAAATCGCATTGATTAAGTAACAAATCTCGGCAGATTTTAAATTTCTAGTAAAAAAAAAAAAAAAAGACGATAGGCCCTGCGCGTGAGCCTAAAGAATCAATCTTAATCCAAAAATTAGCAAAATTCAGAGAAATGAAAGCAGAATAGTGTTTGGAAAAAAACCTCGCGTTTGATACAGACATCGATAGGTGAATCGAATGCGAGGTTTTTCCCCAAACACTATTCTGCTTTCACTTCTCTGAATTTTGCCGCTTTTTGGATTTAGACTGATTCTTCAGGCTCACGCGCAAGGGCTATCGTGCTTTTTTTTCTCAAAATTCAAAATCTGCCGAGATTTTTACCTAATCGATACGATATATCGCATATCAGTTCGACCACGTCACTTGAGCTTGACGAATCACCTTCAAACAACAACGTTCACGACACCGAAAGAGATCTCCGAAGCCCACCATCTCTCCCTCGACTGAAAAGCACCTGCCAGAGCTGGATGTTACGGGCGCGCAAGGAACCAGCGCACGACATGAGATAATAGACGAACATGCGTTTGCAGCGCTCTTCGTACCTATGCGCCAGCTCCGGCCAAGCTGCCAGCAACCTCTCGTGCCACACCATCAGCGTCGGGTCATAGTCGGCCCCGAAGTTGTGCCAGTCCTCCATGACGAAGAACGCCTCGCTGGCCGCCGTGATCTCCTGCATGGACGGCAAATACGCGTTCGGGAAAATGTACTTGACGGTCCAAGCGTCGGCCTTCGTGGTGGCTCCGTTGGACCCGATCACCTGCAGCAAGAGGAGTCCGTCAGGGGCCAGGTGCCGGTCCACGATGGAGAAGAAGTGGCCGTAGTTCTTCGGACCGACGTGTTCGAACATCTCCACGGCGACGATCCGGTCGAAGCGCTCGTTCGGGTCCAGGTCCCGGTAGTCTTTGAGGAGGACCTCGACGTCCAGGCCTTCGCAGCGCTTTCTGGCGAGCCGCACCTGCTCGCTGGCGATGTTGATCGCGACGACGCTGACGCCGTAGTTACGGGCGGCGTACTCCGCGAGGCCGCCCCAGCCGCAGCCGATGTCCAGGAGCCGCATCCCTGCGAACATGTCAAAATGGCGATGTCTTAATTTTATAGATGGCGAAATTTATAGATGTCGAAGGCAAATAGTCAAATCAGGCATTTTATAAAATGCCTGGGCGGATAGTCAAATTTTGAAAATTTACGAAATGGACCACTAGACAAGGTACGAATTTAAGCATTCTGATACATGTTTCTAAACCAAAATTTCACGTGAAACACGATGTGCACAACGCAAATTACCGAAATCAACTTCTTACGAAGATATTTCATGGTTCTTGATACGTGAATTCGAACCGCCTGCTCACGAAAACTCAATACTCTACGTGATTCACATCGCGCGCTAAACGTTATCATGACAGTCTCTGCGATATAAAAATCTGGCAACCTCAATGTTGACGCTTTGGCTCAGCTGTAGCAAATTGCTTGTAGTTTGAACGACACGTGGTACATTGCTCGATTGAGAAGCTTGCTGATACCGTTATAGTGCTCGATTTGACTCACGTAGAGCTTTGAGTTTTTTGTGAGTGGGCAGTTCAAATTCCTCGTAACCAATGTGAAATAAAAACGTTAATATCTTTGTTAGAAGTTTGTTTCAGTGATTTTCGTTGTGCGAATCGTGTTCGACGTAAAATTCTGGTTAAGAAATATGTATCGAATTGCTTAAATTCTTACCTTGTCTAGTGGTCCATTCTGTAAATTAATGGCGAGGAGTTCTCGGGTTTTCAATATTTTGGGAAGAATAACTCTTCAAATCCGCGAACTATTCTTGTTCCTCCCTTTTTACATGCCTTTAGTACATTTAAATGTTAAAATCTTAAAAATTCTATGATTTATAACGTGCTGAAAATTTCATGAGAAATATGTATTCAGGATCTTAAAATTGTTTGAAATACTATTGTGTGCTGCATATTTTTACAGAGAATTCTTTCTTATAGGAGCAACGAATTATTCTGTCTAAAATTAGGGTAAAAAATCAAAATTTCAATCTAAGTAGGAATATTTGACTCTTTGCGTGGGCATTTCATTTAAAAACACGCGCGGTACGAAGGAAAAATTTCCGAACCTTCTTGCGGCATGTCTCAACGATCTAGAAACTGTAGATAGGGGGATCCTATGCTACGCCAATGGTAAATTTCGTAACACACTAGGAGCAACAACTAGGTTAGGACGCGAGGTTATTCGGTTTCCGTGGCTTCTTATGGGATTGTTGCTAAACAATGACTTACATTAAATTCCCAATAAACTGTTTGATAATCCGTCCGAGCCCAGATATGAAACCTAGCTACTCTGCAAGTGAGCTTACGATTAAAATTTCAACGTTAAATAATCCATTGTAAAAACTCCTGTAATATCCCATGTATTTGAGGTTATGACGAAGATAGCAATTGGCCATTTCCACTCCCCGCCCGCCTATCGAACGACCGCTCCATGTGCGTTACGTTTTTTCGCAGGCCACCACCAATCTACAGTTTCTAGATCGTTAGGAATGTCAACAATTTTTTCGGACTTCCGGACTGCCCTTAAAAAATCAGTATTATTTCCGGCCAGTGGCGTTACGGATTTCCGCTGGGCCCCCCTGCAAAATTTTTTCTAGGCCCCCCCCCCCCATGTCGATAAAATTCCAAAATCATCCCCCCTCCCGCCCCTCTGCTTCTCTCACCCCTTCCCGTTTTTTGGCCCGAGAAATTTCAAATCACGGACTTGGACTTGGAATGCCTCTCCCCTCACTGTTCCGGATCCCGTACCCGATTAAATGGGGCCCCTAAAGGATCAAGGATCTAAAGGGTAGCGGGGGCCCAGCCCAGGCCCAAGGATCTACAAAAGAGCCCATGCAGGCACAAGGATCTACAGAAGGGCCCATGCAGACCCAAGAATCGAAGGGCCCCCAAGGGCCTTGTGGGCCCTTTAGATTCATGGGTCACCCAAAGCCCGAAATACCTACGAAATGTGACAAAAAAGAGAAAAAATTTAGTAATCACTGAGTGGACATTGGAAGGCAGGGGCCCTTCAGTAAAAAAAAAAAAGTTAGGAAAAGTCCAAAAGAAGTATGAAAAACCCTGAGCTAACAATAAAAATCAGCGGAAAAAGCCCCATCTCGGTAAGTAAAGGCCCAAAGTTTGAAACCAAAGCTAAGCATCAAAGAGACAGAGAAAAACAAAATTTCGGCGGCCGAGGGCCCGGAGGGCCCCCTAGGCGCTTGGGCCCCCCTGCATAGCAGGGTCTGCTGGGGCGCCCGTTACGCCGGAAAGTCCGGAATCCGGACCTTCCTGGAAATTTCGGACTAGTAGCCACCATGTATACAGTTCAGGCCATGTTCAGGGGTTCTTTCTTGGGTATATTGTATCACATACCTGGCTCAAGCCGAAGTTTCTCGCAGATCATCCGTAGTTTGTTCACCTGCGCTTCTTCCAGCGTGGTTGCTTCCTCCCAATATCCGCAAGAATAAATCATGTTCGAGTCTAGCATTCGGCTGAAAAGGTCGTTACCCAAGTTGTAGTGCACGTCGGACGCCTTAAAAGCGCGGCTCACAGACTGCAAGTTGAAGAGCTTTGCCACCAAGAGACGGAAGACGTCAGACCACCGTTCAGGGACGTGGTCTTGAACGCGGTACTTCAGGACTCGGTAGAAGAATTCGTCCAGTCTCTCACACTCCCACCAGCCATCCATGTAGCTCTCGCCAAGACCCAAGGAGCCCTCGCTCAAGACACGTTTGAAGAAGCCGGGGTTCTTTACGCGGATGTCCCAAGGGCGGGAGCCGTTGATTTTGACGTCGGCCTTTGATAAAAGATCCTCGACGGTTTTGTACCATACATCGTTTTCCATTCCCATCTTCGGTCGTGCGCAAATTTAAATATGTTCAGTTATATTTCGCGTTTGGATCAGATGCTTCGTCGAGAAAATATTGGTAATCCTCGTTTGCGTTTTCTTAGTATGCTGAGATTCTTTCGTATGTCACCAAAAGTCCTCCTAAGGAAAAAAAAGATAATGAAAATTTTCATAACTTTGCAAATTTTGTAATTGCAATTGAAAAAAGTAAATGTATCAATCAATAGAATAGAAAAAATGAGTTCATCTTTTAAACGAGACTATGATCAGCTTTCTAGGTGCCTTAATGCAATAGTTACGACAACAGTCTTAGTTTTTAGGGGGCAGCTTTCTTATTTTGATTTTAAATTAATTCGATTTAAATTGCGTACAAAATTGCCTAAATTTTTTGGGGGAAAAATAGACCTAATTTTCCCAGTAAATTTAGTTTTGATCGAAGGAAACTTGGCAACGTTTGACGGCTCATACGGTGGTCTTACTTAGCACGGCAGTATGGGAGAGAGTTGTTTAAGGAGCACCTGTGAGTACGGAGTACGGCCCTGATATTTGGAAGAGCATTACCTCACGAAGATGACCCGATACCAATGGCTGAATCACGAACACTGATCGGTGATCAAACTTTGATAAGACTCACAATCAGAGAGACTGGGAGTTATTGAATCACACTGACTGCTACGAAAACCAAATAGTTTAATTCAAGGTCGTCGAGTGCGGGTAAAAAATAGGTTCCCATCTGATGCAAGGAATATTAAGTTCGATGAATCAATAATCTGGTAGAAAGCCTTTCCAGTTTAAACTTATTTAAAAAAATAATAAAAACATAAATAAATAAATCAATGAATGTCAACGAATTCAATTTTATTTTGCAGTCCTGATCGAGTGAATGAATTCATTTAAATTTCCTCATTGAAATGTAGAATGTACGAAAAAGATGTTGACAAGTAAATTTTAGCTTAAAAAAATAAACAGGCTTGAGGATATAACCGTCGCATTGAAGATACACTTTTTACGACTTCATTCTAAAACCTATTCATCCTCCTTTCCAGCTCGAACATCATTCAATGAAAAAATATGTTAAACTTCAGACGTAACCCACCTGATTTCATGGTTTGGATTAAAAACGCGGAGCCTCTAAAAATATTTCCTCTGGTTGAAGCTTGTGGAATCGGAATCTCCTGATCATTTATTTCTGAGGGTAGGTATGCGACAGAGGCTAGGCGTGAATGATCGATTACATCTTCGTTTGAAGCTATGGTAAAGAATCGATTATCGATTACTCTGTTTATCGGCTGCGATAGGATTGCGCGAATGCCCCCATTTTTACCTTTTTTGAGATGCACAGGATTGCGCGAATTTTTCTGGTACTGAAAACTCACATGTTTGCGCGAATATTCAATATTCAACGAGGAGGCGTTGTTCTGGCAACCTTGGTAGTTTGTGGTAGGTAACTACATAGCGGAAGACTGTTCATTCATAAGACTATACTGAAAAAATTTTAGAACAACCATGTTCAAGTCTTTTAAGAGATGAATGGATTCAAACCCCGACGGGTGCACCCGAAAGAAAGCGTATATTGCGTATCTCTGATTGCAGCTATATGCACCACTTCTATGTTTTATTTTTAATGAATGTTTTTTAAAAAGCTACACACGGATTTTCTGAATAGTTTCCGCGCATTTGCCTAAATGATCTCAAATAAAAGTCTCGAAAATTTCGACGCGACATTTTCCTTCGTTCTATTTAATGACCCAAAAAAATTAAATATCATCCGAGTTTCTGAATCTTTACAATGAGGATACATATTTTCCTTTTAATTATGGTAAAAACTAAACCAGAAAGTCAACAAGTATGTAGGCAGGCGCTAATATGCGTTTCACATCAACTGATCGACTGCAGTGAGTTTGCCGCAATGCGAGAAGTATTCATGCTGTCTCGTAGGCGTTAATATGGGAGGTGCGCGGCGGGTGCGCCGATCGCACGGTTTTGCGCAATGCGTGAAGTATTCCTGAAGTCTTGCAGGCGCTAATATATGTTTAACGCCTGCCACGCTGTGTTTGGCGCGATTATTTGAACTCGCGTTAGAATAACCGTGGCATCGAATAATAAGGCTTTAAAGGATTATGTTAAGCCAACGCCGTACGTGCATTCCAACGTTGCCTCGTTTCTTTTGATTAAATATTTTTCCGAGAGAAGTTAGGATAGTTCTTGAAACCCACGACCATTATTAAATATTTTCACTTCATTAATCACCTGAAGGTGAGACATCAATTATTTGTCAAAATGCATTTATTTTCTAACTGTTTCCTGTTTTGCCAAACTTCTACCTTACATTAAATTCATTTTAAATTCGCGCATTCCTGTAGCGGCTTCTATTCGCGCAATCCTTGTGCCTTCTTCACGCAATCCTCATATATTTTCCTCGACCTTTCGCGCAATCCTGGATTACCGTGTCTATCGATCCTTTTCCACAGGTTTAAATGGCAGATGAATCGATAAATCGCAAAGCACGCCGCGCCGATGGTATGCGATCTGATTTTTGAAGAGTTACACATTCAATCGAATCTAGCACCAATTTTATGACTATTAATAGAGAAACTAGAGGGCGGGCGTGCCCCCTGACCACTTCGCAGTTCAACCCCCTATGCAATTCGCGCCTCAGGCGTTAGGCGTTATGCGTTATTTTTTAGGTATGATGTTTTATTATGCAGTGACTTATTTTACAGTGTTTCATTTCTCAGGTGACTGACTGATTTGAACATTTCTGCTTCAATACCATGGTCTTTTCCATTGGATCATAAATCAGAATTTATTTTTGTGTCATATTACCTTCAAATTGGTCGGTTTTTGTGAGGAAGAAGAGCATCAGAAAAGAAATGGGCGTTAATTATGAAGTTCGATCAAGCATTGATGCATTTTTTTTTCGAATAAAACCAAAGGAATTTGTTATGATATGTACGTTTAAACTGAATGACATACCTAACTGAGAGTATATGTCAATGCAGTTAAGTTTATTTTGATCCTTTTTTATTTCCGTTTTCTTGGTCTTTTGAATAAGACCAAAATCAATTCGGACATTGCTTGGTTGTTAGAGTAGAGCACCAGTTCAATTCATTATGAGAAGCCTTTGAAGTTCATTCAGCACTTTCATTTTCATTTTTTTGAGGTTAAGTAGGACCGCCCAAACACAATATGGGCCACTGGGAGGTCTGAGGGGAATCTTTCAGTTGGAAAAGGGGGATTACAAAGGGCCCTGTGTCTGATCCTCGAAAAAAAAAAATTAAAATCTAAGTTACAAGCGATGCAACACTGAGCTTAGTCAATGTAATGTCAAGTCTTTTGAATAGCTTAACCATAACGCCGAAGATCCTAAAATTGCATTTTCCATAGTCAGAACAGTTACGTACAATATCAGATAAACATACACTTACTATGCGTTATAGTGCACATCATCGATACCGCGGTTTAATCCGCCTGCAAAGTCGTGATAAAGCTAATATCTCTCCAGATGTATTACGCAGAAGATTTGGCGCAAAAAAATTTAGTGCTCGAAATGCAATCCGCATGAGGCTAAAAATGTTGATATTTTACCAGACGTTACTCCGCTAAGAATACCTCAGCTTCCACGAAAACCACTCGATCTTGATTGAGGCTCGAGGAAAAAATGCATGAGCGAGCCTGCTGTTGCATTTTTTATTCAAGCTTATCGAGTTCAATACTTTTTTCTCCTTACCATGAGCGATTTTACTTCCTAAGCCGGCTATATATTTTTTTCATTGAAGAGTATTCATTTGAGGCGTGTAGTTCTAAAAGCGGCAATCTCTATTGCCTTGTTGAAGATTGTGCAATCATTTTAATATTAACATTGAAAGAACGAGAAACCCTTCATGTTCATATCATCTTGTAAATTTTCTGTTGTCAGACGGAATAATGTGAAAAAATGTTAAAAACAGCTAAACGTTTCGCTTGCTCCTCACAGAAAATAAATATGATTGCAAAATGCTTAGATGCCATGAAGATTCCCGCTTTTATGGCTATACATATCGACGGTAAAAGTACCAGAAGTCGATATATGTGGATATATCGATTTGCGACGTTGTAGACTTCCTGTCATACCTTATTTTTTAATTGGAAAACTACTCGAAGTTAATTCTTGAAAAATTCTTTGTTCTTTCTTCTCTGTGCGAAGAAAACTGTGTGAAAATTTCAATAATTTATATTAATTTTTCTCCTTTAAAAAAATAAAGTAGGAGCGGAGATTTTTAAACACCGCAAAGAGATACGTGATCTGGTAATTTCACCGTCGATACACGCCTCGTTTCAAAGTAATTGAAATTAATAATTATAAAAAATCTCACTCCTCAGGACAGAGTAACTCACTAGCTGCCTATTCTCTTGAAAACATGTTCGCAGTATAATCCTGTGAGGAAGAGATGCGAGTGAAAAAGAGGTCACAAACTCATACCTATCAAGTTAACCCAGAGCATGAAAAATATGCGTGTGTGTTATTAATGTTTCCATGATATGTCCGATTTCCAGCTTTTATACTTTCCTGATTTTCAGAGTTTTTCGGCTTCCGAAAGTAGAATAATCACTGGGTTGTTTGTTTTTATCAGAGAGACTGTGTTACATAGTCGCTCCTCTGACGTAGGGATGTATCTCAATTTCAACGTGAGCCCTGTTTTACGTATAAATCCATCCTTTCTACGGCTCATGCGGGAATCGCGATAAGTCTTTCTAGGTCGGCTCAACTGTATCGAATTTTGTCGTTTCCGCATTACACAGGGTGTCCTAAAGTTGAACGCGAATATTTTCGAAATCGATTATTTTGATAACAAATTAGACTATTTTTTTCTGCAACGTTTTTCTAACCCCCCCCCCCCTTCAAATCTACAACCTCTCGAAGCTTAGGTCAAAACATTGTTTTTTCTTGACTGCGACGAAACTTATGAATGAAATCGCGTAAAAATTGGCACTTACACATCTCTGTGATGTTCCTTCACACAATAAGCGCACTTCTGACCTCGACGAAACAAAATCATATTTATGGAGGTTTTTTTGTGGGGGGGGGGGTGCTTGGAATTATGAGAGAGGGATTTTTGGGAGAACTTTAAAGAACAAAAATGTCTCGTTTGCCCAAAAATCGATTTTGAAAAAATTCACTTTTAAACTTCGAAATTTCCCCCGCAGATTGTAAAATAAGATTGAACTTTAAACTTTCCGGATGTGCTTCTCGTGATTCTCAAGCCGTATTCCTTGGGACAGACTTCTTATTTTTGTTCGACAAAAGCTAACAATAGAGACATTAGAGGAAAAAATTATGGTTTTTTAAGTCATATTATCCTCCAAATCGGTTCGGCGAAATCGTACCAGTTGCCAGGTTGTGAGAAATGATATTTTTACATGAAGTTACATGGAAAAAGAGCTGATTTTCCAGCACTCCCTGGCAACAACGGTTGACATTTGATTGTAAATAATCTATCGAACGCCGATTTATCGAACTTTCTTAATCGATAGATAGCTCTGCTAAGATAGGAATTTTGGAACAGCAAGAGACGTTCGATATACTCCAATCGCTCCATGCGATCAAGAGGCGACCAGCTTGGAAAAAAAACAAGGATTTATAATACTATCAAGCTACGGAAAAACACCGCATGAACATCCAAATGTTGTCCAATTTCCCCGGATTAAATGTTTGTTCTTGAGGAAAGTTATGAAAATATGTCTTAGAGACTTTCAGGTACTTTCAATTAAATGATTACAACTCTCAGAAAAATGGGAAGAAAAATATCCACAAATGCCCCGGTGAATTCGTATTTTATCGAAGGAAATTTGGCAACACCTGAATGTTTATACAGCGTTTTTCTTCAGCGCAGCAGGATAAATCTTATGGTTACTATCTAATTTAATGCTAAGCTCAGTGTATTTGCGGGCTACACCCAGAAAAAATGTATTTTGATGATCTGATGTGAGAAACAGTTATGCTCTTTGAAGTGAATCAACTACCAATCGATCAGATCACCGAATTCAGTGTAATTGTTCGTACTAGTGCCATGTGTAAGCTTTATTTTTTTACTTGAACGCTGGAGACATTAGGTTTGGTAAGTGTATCTTAAAAACTTGAATTTTTATGCGAAAAAATTTTACATTTAAAACAATCATACATTTTACGTGCTCATCTTTTTTATTTTAATTTTATTGTGTCACGCCTGCGTTGCGAAGCGAAAAAAAATTGAACAGTTGACGAAAATTATATATTTACCATCAAGACCTCACCTATTAACCCGCTCGGAAAGGATGATTGCTGAATGGGCTGCAAAAAATGTGTCTGAATGTTAATAACAAAAGTAACGTTATCGCAAACACCCTTGCCCGGTAGGAAAACATACTGCTTTGATAAATATTTGAATGTTTACCTTTAACTGGCTGCATGAATTTTAATTTTGACTCATAAACGTATCGGTCGGCTTTTTTTGCAAAAAAATTGAGTTTTTTCTATTTTTTTCTTGTTATAAAGAGGCTTTGTCTATTGGTCTTTTATCCAAAAATAGCTTGCAGCAATTTTTTAAGCATGTCTTACAAATAATTTGTTCAGTATCTACGAATTTCAATGAATCATGTTTAATGCATTATTCTGAATTTGAAATAGATAAAAAAAAACAAAACAAGGAAAATCGACCTGATCCTTAATCTTGAGGTGTTGATTTTTAACTCGGAATTTGATATTTTTGTCCAAAATCACCCATTACGTCTAAACGAACAAAATTTTAGATTTTGGTCAATCAAATTAGGTCATTTTAAAGTCTGAAATGGCAGATCTATTAGATTTGCTTTTCTAATATTTGTTATGATAAATTAAATCCCCTTGAAAACCTAAATATTTTATCGGAACAACATCATACTAACATACACTGGTGCATAGGCAAGAAGATCATTTGGGATGTTGCGCGGGAGGTATGATATTTGTTAATTTTGAAAAATATTTAAAACTTTCAAATTTTAAGAAATTTAGTAGGCTCTTTTAAATTGTATGAAATTTAAGCCGAGACATTTCCCCTCCTTGGTCATTTCTGATCACCATTATACTCGTGTCAGCCAGCATCCAGGTACCTCTCTCTTTTTGCTTCAGGTCATAAAGTCAATATGGACATCGGTATTCAGCAGTTAAAACTCTCGCATATCTTATGGATTTGCTTGATTAGTATCTTTGCTATCCGTGCGCTGTATCGGCGATGGAAACATCGTAAAATCTACGCATTCATGGCATCTTTACCTGGACCTGTTTCTCTACCATTTATTGGTGGCGACTATATCTTAATTGGAATATCAAGGACAAGTAAGTGTATTTGCTTGGAAATTTCTCCTACTTTTTTCTATTGTACTATCTTTATATATCTTATATCTTATATTATATTGGGGGGGGGGGGGTTCAAGGACTTCAGAAAAATTCAAAATTTCACAAAACGAAAAATGTGGGATGTTAAGGGACAGCTCATAAATGTAAGACCATGCTGCAGAAATACCACATTAGTTCAGGAAAAGTCACCTCTTTCCTCATCAAGCTCATTATGCAAAGATAGGGCTGAATAAGTTGAGTACCTCTTTCATGAAAGGGCGTATGCCGAGATTTGCAGTTTCCAAGAAGAATGATTTCAAATATGACGAAGAGTGACCTTTGACAAATAGTTGACACATTCCCCACCTGTGAGTATAACAGGCGAGAGAAACTTTCAAGATGCACTTTCACCGAGGAAGTCTTCAATCAGTAGAGTTTCCACGATGGCAGGCTGCAAATTCAAAGTCTAATGTACAGTGGCGTGGCGTGCTTTGCGATTTATCGATTGATCTTCCATTTGAACCTATGGAAAAGGATCGATTAACAGGGTGTTCGGAGCGAACACCTTAATAATCGATTCTTTACCATAGCTTCAAATAGGGAAACATCGACAATTGATCATTCACACCACGCCACTGCTAATGTAAATCGTTCATGCCCAAAAATATCGAAACCCCAAGAGCGAAACCACGCATCTCCATTGCAGTGTTTCAAAATTCCCGCTTCTTTTTTATTTCTTTGAAGAGGTGGAAGCCTAACTTTATAGCTCGAAATTTATGTACAATATTCTGCTTACAGAGGGGAAAAATCAAGGACGTTTTTTCAAGAAATTAGATTGACTGATTTTTCTAGGAGATAAAAGGAAGTCTGCAACGTTGCAAACTAGGATACGGGGTTTCGCACTTCGGCCATTGATTTGCAACTTCAAGCCCTATCTCTTCATAGAAAAATGAGCTTCTGCTACTAACTTTTGTGTGGGACATTATATGTACAGAGTTTTACGGTCAAAACTAAAATTCCGTCTTTTTTGTAGACGGTTAATAGGCGTTTTTATAGTAAAATGAGCTACTGCTACTAACTTCTGTATAGGACATCATATGTACAGAGTTTTACGGTGAAAACTAAAATTCCGGCTTTTCTAGTTATGTAGTTGTGTATGTGTTGTGTAGTTGTGTTGTGTAGTTTTGTGTGTGTAGTTGTATTGTTTCTAGTTGTGTATGTTAGTTTTCTGTTATGTAGACGGTTGTATTTATGATTTTTACACATGTTCGGTTAATTTCCAGATCTGTGCGGCAAAATGAAAACATTGACGAAATGGTACCCTGATGGTGTTTCTGGAATGTGGGAGCGAAATGAGCCCCACGTGCTCACTAGTCGTCGGGAAGTACTCAATGTAAGGATAATAGTTCTTAACTCGACAGATTTATCCAACCGGAAGTTACTTGCACAGTTCACATATGTATATACAGAAGTTCCATCGACGAACCTGAGCTTTTCTCTCCATCGCGAAGTTAGCGAGAAGCAAGCAAATGACACATTAAAAATTTGTTACGAATATTGTAACAGGGTGGTATAATGGTGCTGGGTCCGCACTATTTTGCGAGGAAATCCAAGTCAGAAAAAAAAAATCTAATCAGATAGTGTATTTTGTGACTCTAATTCATATTTAGGGTAGTTTTTTTTTACAGTAGTTTTGTTGTAGTTCTGGATGACCTGCAAAATAGTACGGACGCAGGACCGTTTAGCTGTTTAGGAATCAATTTTTTCTTTCGTTTTTCTCTTAGCCAATGGAGTAAAATATTTCATACATCTATACACCAAAGGACAGATTCAAAAATGTAGCCACGGTTGCAAGTGAGCCCAGAACCGTCCAGCGAGAGTTTCAGACAGAATGAGGGGTAATTTCTACATCTTGATCGATAATCTGAGATGCGAGATCATTCACCCACCTTCGTTCACTTAAGTTTTTTTTTTTTTTTTTTTTTTTTACTTGCAATTTGGACCACATTAATCGAAGTAGACAGTACGAGATTCGCATTTATAAGTTCAGCCCTGTATAGAAAGCACTCGCAAATTTCTTATGACTCTCAAAAAGAAAAAAATAAATCACATTTTGTGAAAATTCACAAGTTCCTAAGTTTTGCTTGAATTCTGTACTTCTTAAGTGCGCCGAAATTTTGGCTTTGTATGTACTTGGTATTCATTTTTTGCCGTATTTCAGGCGGTTCTATCCAGTTCTGAAAATATTGACAAATTTTACCACTACGATCATTTTCAAATAGTTGCAAATTCAATGATCACCGCCTCGGGTAAGTGCCTGACATCAACACTGCTTAAACCTCCAGACATCTTACCCAAATATAATGTAATTTCTGATAATTTTGTCCCAAAAAGACATGAAGCGTATATATCGTCTCAAGGACCAGCAATAATCTGAAAAACCTGGGGGCAAAGCCGCCGCGCCCCCCCCCCCCCCCCCCCCCCCCNACCAAAAAAAACCAGAGCAGAGCGAAGTGGAGCGTCAGTCTTTTAAAAAATGATACAGGAACTAAATAGATCTAAATCAAGGAACTTTCTCAAATTGTTAAAAAAACTGAATCTCTGATGATCACCATACTTGCGTTGGGTTGATGACCTAGGTATATATGGCGTGGCATTGTATCGATTTTAATTTCTGCCCGGAGACAATTTGCAAGTTGGCAATACTGTTAATACTCCTTTAAAATGCATTGAATATATCGATTCTAGGGAGAAAGGCTGCCTCAGCAAGGCTATAAATTTTGACTCATCTGAAAAAACACTTATGTGCATTGGGAAACTAATGGCACATACGTTGTTTTTAAACCGAGCCGGAATTTGTAGGTCCAAATTGCAAAATGCAGTCCAATTAAATGGAGAGAAAACAGCGTTGCCAACTTTCAAGAATAGCTAATTTTTCTGCGGTGCTGAGGAAGAGCACATAGTAAAACTTCTTTAATTATAAAACGACTTACGTGAGAAAATTGTGAATGTTTTTCTTACGATTCAACGATGAATAAATTGGCTTTTTAAAAAAGATTCGTCAAAGATAAATATTTTATCGGGAGAAATGGAGCGATACCTAACGTTGTGGATTTCTAGGTTTGGATCTGAACCTGCAATTTTTTTATGATATATATCGTTGTAACCGATCTGTTTTACTTTACTCCAGGAACCGAATGGCGCACAATTCGGAATATAGTGAATCCAGGTTTTCGGTCCAACATCTTGTCACTCTTTGACGATAATTTTACTTACCACACCAGAGCTTTCGTTGACCGACTGGAGAAATATGAAAACAGCGATGAGTTTGATATATTCGTACCTGTCCATTTGTGCACCATCGACTTGATTTCCGGTGAGTTCAAACCGTCCTCTTCCATCCCGGAAGAAACACCAATAATTTTATTTGTTTACCGAGGTTACCTCGTCAAAAATAATGGACACCCACGAACATAAACTTATGAGCGCGCGACTGCATGTGAGATGGTCACACATATGTTTCTTAACAATCAGCACATATTTTTATTAATTTTAATGTTAATTTGTCTTGCATAAAGACATGGTACGAAGTATCTATTACCTTATGACTTAATGATCATTTTAAAGGCATTTGTAAAACTGTAGTTATGAATAAATATAATGTTTTTATTTCAGATAACATGGTTCAAGCTCGAATCGGTGTTCAAGGAAACGACCCAACCGGCCGTATCTCCTTGGCAATGACAGAGTAAGTTGACATTTTCGAGTAAAATATTAGCTGTGTTAAGTTGTTCCTTAAAATTTTGAAATTGTAGTTTTTAGTAATTATCTGCTTTCAACAGTCAAGATCATGAATTTGAAAGCTCTGTTACAGTGACTTGAATGGCGATTTCAATGTGAATGGTAGGTTATGAATCACTAATCTGAGTGGCGCTTCTTGTGAAATACATGCACACAAGGTGTTTCAGACATTCATTAGCTGAAGCGTGCTCGCATGATGATTGTCTTTTTTTCATTATGTTTCATTTAAGTACGCTAATTGCTTTACGGACGGCTTAACGTTAATGGTGAAATAAAAAGTGGAATTATGAATGTTTTTTAGACTATTTTTAATGTTGTGTACAGTCTCATTAATTAAAAAAATTCCAATCAAGATTACTCGGTGAATGCATGCTTCTGATGAATCAAATAAATCCTTAAAAATAACATATTGTTTTGCTTGCCTTACAGATTGTTTGAAATGATGTTCGAGCGCGCATTTTCTCCTTTGCTCTGGCCAGATTTTATCTACAAGCTTTTAGGAAAGCAAAAAATTATAGACCAATTAATAAGCGAACATTACAACTTTGTTCAGAGGGTAAACTTTTCATTTTTTGTCTAAGGTAGATTCATGCTGCTACAACCCATACGTGGCTATTGTCGGAGAAAAACGCCACAAACAGTCAAACCAAAATCATTAATACCGGGGGACAAAGATGTATATGCTAAACATTTCGGGACAAAATACCGTAATGTAAGTTTTAAAACAAGCTAGATTTGTGCTGGTTTGGATTTTTCGGTTCAATACGTAATTTTGAGAGAAGGCTATTGAAAATTCTAGTTTGTCTTCTTAAAGGTACAAACTTCGAAATTATAATGAGTAATTTTACGCTCTCCTTCAACCGATACAAAAATTGACTAAACTTCTAAAAACCAGAGAATTGTTACCAGATGCTGTTAGAAAATAGCACTTTGCCGCATTTAAACCCGTATAAAATATACACATTTAATTGCACAGCAAGGCGACCTTGAAGTTGAGGCTGATTATGTAGGCCGATGAAAGTCAACTTAAAATTTGACATTTCTGGATAAGTCGAGTCACTCACATGGAATGATGACTACGGCCAATTTAATTTAGGTCTAGATCCCCCTCTTTTACGGACAAACCTATGGATGAAGTTAAGTCTGTTTTTAAGGATCCTCCACCTATTGGGGAATTTTGGAAAAATAATCTCTGGATAAAATCTGATAAGTACGTATACTGTTCGTTTAAGTTCCTGCTAAATTTTAACCGCCGCACAGTGGATCGAGTCCATAGGAGAGGCCAGACAAAATTTGGATACTTTAAAAGCTTATAACTCCGTTTATATAAAACTTCAAGATTTTAAAAGTAGTTCCGTTGGTTTCCTCGTGAAATTCTCTTATAGAAGCACCCCTTAAAATTTAAAATGTGACAGAATAAACATCAAAATTTGCAGTTTTAGTCAAACATTTTATGTCCGCCCTCTGATTGACGCAATCTACTGTGCGCCAGTAGAAGTAAAACCTTATTATCAAGTGATGATACACCCGAGCCTCAGATAACTAAATATATATAAAATTGATAGCTAAAGTGCGAAACCACGTATTGCCATTGCGGTGTCAATGACGGCTCCTATTTTATATTTTCACGAAGAGAATACAAGCCAACTTCACAGATTGAAATTATTTTAAGGATAAACCTTCGTCACACTATCAAAATACTCCATCAAAATGTCAAGGTCAAGTGCTGTGATTGGTCCAAGTCATCGAATAAGTCAATCACAACACCCGACCTTGATATTTTGATGGCTAGCTTTGATAGTGTGACACAAGCTATTTTTTTTCTTTTTACACAGAGGAAAAATCAAGGAAGCTTCCAAGAAATTAGTTGACTAGTTTTCCGAAGAAAAAATAAAGTAAGACAGGAAGTCTACAACGTCGCGAACGGAGGTTCGTAGTTCCGCACTTTGGCTATCGAAATGCTTTCTTGCAGAATACGACGGTCTGATTTTACTTCATTTCAGATGTTGGAGGTGCATATCAAAAAGAAACAAGAGCTCAGAGAGGAAAATAGGCATGCGGGTAAGGATGGAAATAAAATTGTCTACATGTTTTAACAAATGAAAGTATATGAATAACCCCGCTGCAATCTATGCACTGCGTTTGGCGCAATGCGAGAAGTATTCGTGCAGTATTGTAGGCGCTAAAATTGGCTTACCTCCGACCGCACTGTTTGGCGCAATGCGTGAAGTATTCCTAGAGTCTTGTAGGCGCTAATATGCGTTTAACGCCGGCCGCACTGTGGTCGGCGCGATTATTCGAAGTCGCGTTAAAATAATCGCAACATCGAATGATAGAGTTTAAAAGGCCCAGTTGTCTTTCGACGCCGTATGAGCATTCCAACATTGCCTCGTTTCTCCGGATTAAATCTCTTTTAGAGAAAATTTAGGAAAGTTCTTGCATTCCTCATATATATGCATTTTCATAGACCTTGCGCGCAGTCCTGGATTACAAGAGCAACCGTCTCCACTCGAAGATCTTTATGTCTATTTTTGTTTCGTTCGTACCATCGTGCACGTAGTATTACGTACCATCGTGCATTTACTATTATCGTACCATCGAGCACTTATAGTATCACGTACCATCGTGCACTTGTCATTTATCGTGCCATCGTGCACTTATAATTGAAACGGATAATGATCCTACTTCTGGTTCTGATCTCCTTCACAATTTGAACTAATTTCTATCTATGCGAGAAGATGCCAAACGACAATTGGGAGAGAAGTAATTAGGAATAAGTTTAAGCTAAAAAATCCGTACTCTTTGTAATGTATACAATTTGAAGGTAACAAAAATATTTTGAAAGTAAAGATGATGGATATTACTTAAGGCAGACACAAAAATTCGAAAATATCGCCTGAAAATCGTCTAGAGCAGAAGGCAAAAATAGTGCTGGGTCCACATTTCTATACGAAGTTTTGAGTATTGTTAAATAACTGATGCCGATTTTACTGCACGAAAATACACTGAAATAGAAAATTTGAAACTTTACAAAGTGAATTAAGTAAGTGTCTGTGTGGTTTTGCTATTGATATGTCATTTCATACTATGATTGCAGGAAATCCGCAAATCTACATAAATATCTTACTGGATAATGTGGATAAAGGCGTTTTGACGAAAGATCGAGTTATTGCAGAGGTTAACGAGACGCTCATGGCGGTGAGTATCTTAACACTCTCATAAAACCAAATAGCCAATGACGTCATACTGCCGTGCTGAGGAAGAACGCCGTATAAACATTCGAGAGTTGCCAAGTTTCCTTCGATAAAAACCGTTACTGGGAAATAAATGAATATTTTTTTCCAAAATTTTCAGACAATTTTGTACGCAGTTTAATCCAAAATATCTGAAAATTTCAAGGCAAAATGCTCATGAATGTCATCAAAAATACACATTTTATCGAGGGAAATTTGGCAACTCTCGAGTGTTCATACGGCGTTCTTCCTTAGCACGGCAGCATAGGAGCCCTCAAGGAAGTCCCTTCCAGAACCGGGGATAGGACGATATGCAACATACAAAGTACAAACATACACCGAAAAAAAGTGAAGTTGACTTAACATTCTGGATGTGAAGAAAGTGTGCGAGAACTTATATAATGCTAAATTGCCCGCTACAGCGGCTACCTTAGCAATGTCAAGAGGTATAACTAACTGCTGGGGCGGGTAATTCAGCATTATATAAGTTCTCGCACGCACTTTTTTACACCAAGAATGTAAAATTAACCTCACTTTTTTTTCGGTGAGCCGCTTTCATAGCGCTCTGCGACACACAGCTGCCCAAAACCCACTATCCGCCCAAAGCCCCCAATCCTCCCGAAGTCCCCTGAGGGTGTCGCGTGTCGCCTCTCCCTCATTATCCCACAGTAGAATCCCATACCTTGACGTTTCTAGCGGAAACGACATATCTCACACGCTATTAACACTGGACTTGAAAGACATGAGCTTTAAAAGCTCTACAACATCAAAAGTTCGGGGTTTCATAATTTTTTGCACATCTACATCTACTACAGATGACATACATGTAAAGATCATCCTTATCGGTCCGGCAGTTCGTCAGAAATAGTGCTTCCAAGATTTTGCTTGTAGCTGTATAATATAGATAAAATCTCTATACTATACTACTCTTTAATATTTTATGGTTAATTTTTCTTTAGTCTAATGCGCTTTCCACTTGCAAGTCGCAACTTCGGCGTGACATTTATTCGGGAGACAGGAGTATATTAGCCCAGCGGGTCACTCTCTTCATCCCCACATGTCTCAGAACAAATTACGGTTTCGGTCACTTTCACCAAAAATTTGACCGATCAACCGAGCCCTTTTAGTTGATTTGACCGAAAAAAAGTATCTCAAAGTAACATGAAATCACCATTAACACGGGAATGTTTGAATGTGCGGTTTCTAAATGTATCTTCCTACCTCTTCTTCAAACAGGGCTCTTACACCTCGGGAACAATAGTGGCTTGGGTTTTCAAGCTGCTCGGGATGTTTCCTGATATTCAAGAGAGAGCGTATCAAGAATTAAAGGAGAGTTGTGTTGGCGACCGTGTGGAGTTGGATGATCTTCCCAAACTCGTCCAAATTGAGATGATCATCAAAGAGACTCTTCGGCATTTCGGACTCCCCTTTACCGGCAGACATATCATTAAAGATGTTGAAATAAACGGTAAGGAAAAACTGGAATGAACGTGACCGTTCGAGGAAAATTGGGGTTTCATAAATTTTACCTAAGAAATCGGCCAGTATCCTTTTTTAGCTGAACTCAGTGAGGACAGTGTGGAGCTTTTACCTTACACACCACTTTTACCTACTTAAAAATTTGTTTCGCTCAATTCTATATGAAAGAAGAGGATGAATATCATTTTTAAAGATGTTGACAATAAATTGGTGGCGTCTAATAAAATCTGTAAAAATCTGTAATCTGCAATGTACGTCGAAGGCAATCAGCAACCGCTGGAAATTTGAAAGCGACATGCGAATTGACTCGTCATATTGCAATTTTTTGCATCGACGTAGTAAAGGTTTCACTTTCACTGATGAAGCACTACCTAGGTACGACCGCGTCTCGGAGCCCCTTCAAATCCAGCTGATACTCCCCTCGTTGCCACACAGTTAGTTTAGTTGCCTATTCGACCAAACCCAAAAAAGGTCGGAGATTCCACTACTCCCTCTCACTAGTGATTGCTAGCAAAAGTTACAGTGGCGATAATAAACCTTATTTTTCAATGTGCAATAGTTCGATTGATATTTAAGGCAGAGAGTTGCCGTTTGGACAGAATTTACCATTTTCAGATAAACTACTAGAATCAAGCACCAAAACATAATTCTGTGACCAGCACAACTATGACCCTTCTTATCTTATTGGCTTCCGGTCTGTTATCAAAAATGTGTTAACTATTCTTGGATTTGTGGTTTGCAGGCAAGCTGACTATACCGGCAGGAATTCAAATGTTTTTGAACATCCATGGTCTCCACCACGATCCGGAATATTGGGAGAAGCCCGGGGAGTTTTATCCGGAGCACTTCTCTCCGCTCAAGGAGAAATCCAGGCCAAGAGGCGCATTCATCCCATTCCTCGGCGGCCCCAGAGTTTGTCCAGGTATTCTACCGTGCTAAGGAAAAACGCCTTATGAGCATTCAAATGTTGCCTTTCTTCCCAGAAAATCTTTATTTTGGAAAGAAGTTTTGAATATTTTTTCTTGAAATTTTCCGACCCTTCAGATGAAATTACAAACGAAATCCGCTGAAAATCGGAAAAGAAATATTGCCAAATTTGCCTGAAAATTCGTGATTTGTCGAAGGAAATTTGGCAACGCCTGAAGGCTCATACGGCGTTCTTCTGTAGCACAGCAGAATTGGTCGCGTGAAAAAACTTTTGCACGTCTCCACTCGTATTCGATAATTTTTTAAAAGAGAAAAAAATCATCAGTTTTTTCCCCCATTTCTGTGAATTTTCTTCCGCAGTCTAAAACATACACAGAAAATTTTTGGAGACATATTTTTGCAAGTGTTCATTGAAAAAAAAAAATGAAAAATAATCGGAAACGTTTACAAACAAGTCTTGGGCTGAAACTTCCGCGAATTTCCCTCTTGGCCACATTTGATACCCTAAAATATTTATTTTTGGTGCAGGGTCTCTTACCCTACATCAATAATCGATGTTATGATATTTTCCTCCAAAAAGGTAGCACCTACGCACAGTGGGTCGAGTCAATGAAAGAAGTCGGACAAAAGCTAGAAATTTTAAAAGCTCATATCTACGTTGCAACAAAACATAGTGGTTTTAAAAGTGCAATCATCTGTTTTTACGTTAAATTTCCTTTACGTAGCACCCTATACGCCCTACAATGATATGAAATTGACATCAAAATTCGCAGTTTTTGTCGATAAGTCCGCGCTCCAGGCTCAGAGGCCGAAAGTTCCGGGCTCAGCACCCGGAGAAATGCTCTAGCACCTGGGAGTTTCGGCCTCTGAGCCCGGAACGGACGGTATATCTATATAACCCGTAACTTTTTTTTTCAGTGTCTATTCAGCACAATAATTAAGCCAACGATTAATATAATTATTGATTGATCTTTCTTAGGGAGCAGATATGCGATGAGATCAATGAAGCTCATGATTGCAAGTACTCTGCTGAGGTATAAGTTCTCCACGGATGAAAAACCGCCAGAAGATCTCAGAGATATGGACTATCGGTATATTGTGTTGCTCCATCCAGCCGCAGGATTTCGTGTCAAAATAGAGCGCAGATGAAACGGAATCGATTTATTATCTTCACAGTTGGACGTATTTCTATCAAACGGAACTATGTGCATCATGACAAAGAGCCCTGTTACGCACATATTCTTATGGGTCTCAGGGCTCATGTCTTAATGCACATAGTTCCGTTTGATAGAAATACGTCCAGTTAATAATGTCGTTGTTCGGTGTTACTCTGTGATACTGCGTGTTACTTTTCTCGTGTTAGATCAATTCCAAGGACATGGTTGCTCAACAAAATTTTGTGTTGAATCGACCCAAACCGTAGGTTTATTTTAATACATCCGGGCACGAAAAGAGTGCCCAGTACTGCCGTGCTAAGGAAGAACGCCGTATGAACATTCGAGAGTTGCCACATTTCCTTCGATAAATTGTTTATTTTTTGGGAAAGTTGTGAATATTTTTCTTCTAAATTTTCAGTACCTTTAGGTGAGATTGCGAACAAAATTAGGTATCTGAAAAATTGAGAGGAAAATATCCATAAGTTTGCCGGAAAATTCGCGTTTTATCAAAGGAAATTTGACAACGCCTGAAGGCTCATACGGCGTTCTTCCTTAGCACGGCAGAGTAGTACTTACGTACTCTTGTTTTCCGCCCCGCCACACAGTGGATCGAGTCAATGGGGGAGGTCGGACAAAATTTGGAAACTTTAAACGCTTGTAACTCCGTTTATACAAAAAATTGAGGTTCTAGAGGTGGTTTTATTGGTTTTCTCGTAAAATTTTCTTATAAAAGCACTTCTTGAAATTTAAAATGTGACGAAATAAACATCAAAATTTTCGGTTATAGTCAAATTTTTCACGTCCGACCTTTTTCTTTGACTCGATCCACTGTGCGCCGCCTAGAGGTTGCGACTTGCAAATGGATAGCGCATTTGATATCACCGATGCGGCAGTGGCGTGGCGTGAATTGCGATACATCGATTGTTATGCCATTTAAACCTATGTAAAAGGATCGACAAACAGGGTGTTCGCAGCGAACACCTTAATAATCGATTCTTTACCATAGGTTTAAATGGCATAACAATCGATAAATCGCAATTCACGACACGCCACTGCGATGCGGTCCAGGTTCGATTCCGATGGCTGACGCCTGATTTTAACGAGGTCGGAGATTTTCAACACAAACATTTTGGTCCCTCCAACACAAAGATTTGGTCGATTTGAAACAGAGGGAAAACCAACACACAAAATATTGAACAACAGCTTGCGTTACTTCGTGTTCCACTACCCATATTGACACAAATTTTTGGTTACTTTATCTTACTATGTGGAGAAAAAATTGTAATATGTCTTAGATGGAAATTGCCTTTACGGGCACGTTTAAAACTGGGTCAAATTTGGGACAGATTAAAAATCTTCAATCAACTAAGAACTTTCTACGTCGAAAGCTCCTCTGAAAAAATTGGTGCTGGATACGTCTCATAGTTTTGATTTTACATATATGTTTTTTTTTCATTTCACGAGTCTCCTGGTTACCTACTTTCATACGTTCAATTTTGCAATTTTTACTCTGTACGGTTAATCAACTTTAGATTTGAAAATAGCGTAAAATTGCGCTGATTTGCCAAAATTTTCTGTGTCTCCTTCCACGTTGAGGGTGCCTCCCACCCCCGGGCAAAAATCCACATTACGCCCCCTTAGACGACTAAGGGTCAACACCCTGCGATGAGAGCCAGTCCGGCTCTATCTGAGTGTTCCTTGCACATAGTGTTGTCCGTTCACGTTGCTGATACCTTGGTCGACTAACCCCAAGCACTATCGTGCTAAGGAAGAACGCCGCATGGACATTCGAGATTTGTCAAATTTTCTTCGATAAAATGCTTATGTTTGAAGAAAGTTAGGAATATTTTTCCTTGAAATTTTCAGACACTTTGGTTGAAATTCCGAACATTATTATCTGAAAAATTGTAAGAAAAGTATTCACGAATTTTCCCGAAAATTGGCAACGCAGGAAGGCTTATGCGGCGTTTTTCCTTAGCACGGCAGAACACTTGATGCGATGCTCCTTAACTTTTAACCTCCCAGCGCAGGTGATGACCATGTTGCGTGCACAAAAAATGAAGGCGAGTCGCTTTGTGTATTTTTGAAGATCTAGGCTAGAAAGCGAGACATGTGTGACGCATCAGGAAAACATGTGAATTAAGGTAGGAATGAGGGTGAGATAACTATGGCGTTTGGAGGGGTTGGTTCTACAACATTGGCGCAAAAAATACCCGGGCATTTGAAAAATTTGCCTATTGACAGCGGTCCATTTGAGGACAAAAAACGGCGATTGGGAGAAAACCGTTGTTAATTTGCTACTGCTGTTGCCAATCTCAAGAACGATTTCCTCTAAACGCTCATGACAATCAACTGATTTATACACTTGCGCAACACACTCCATGTATCGACAAATAAGGTAAAAATTTGCGACAAATTTTTGTCGAGTCGTGACTTTGGCCGAGAAGCAACACCCATTGTCTTTTGCTTTACCATCAGACTGTAATTTTTATATTCTTTTTCCCTTTGTCAACAATATGTAGTTTCGGTCATAGTTTCTGACACATCAGTATTAACGATTTTTAGAAATTAATAAAATTTTGATGCTCACATTTTATTCCATTACTTTCACTCCGTTAATTTCCCATACACAGTACTCTCTCGCTATAACGAATCGGCAAGGGACTGGGCGATTCCTTCGCAAAAGAGAGATTTTCGTTATAATGAGTGTCGTTATAGCGAGAGAATACTGTACATGCATTTTACATAAGAAATTCCATAATGAGTTTTTGGAGGGTATACATTAAAACAGGGGTTTCGCTTCTGTAAGTCTAAATTGATACGTAATATTCGACGCAACTCGGGTTTCTGAATAGCAAACAAGTAATTTTCTTTATCCATAACTTTTCTAAAAAATAACTTAGTGTGACCGGTATAAAAGTTGCGCAATATGTTTCGCCTTAGATTATCGAGTTAGATCCGAGACGAATTCCTCCAACTTCAATGTTTATGTTAGGAGATTTGTCGTCCGCCATTTTGCATGGCTTGCAACATAGTGAAATGTGCCCAATATCGATCAGCTGGATTATTACTTGACTACCATTTATATGAAAATTTCTTTGACCGTCCATAGAAAAGGGGCCTTGGTTCATGGAGGCAAAAATGTTGGAGGCACCGGTTTTGTTCAATGTGCCGGATAATTGAATTTTGGGATAAGAACTGAAGGATTACGTTTCAATTCCCCGCAGATTATTGTCCCATGAAACAAACTGGTGTTTCATTGCTCCGCAAGATGGGGGGCATTGCAATAAAACTTACAGCGCGGGGCGATGAAACAACATTATTGCAATCCCCCGCAGGAATGAAATAAAATTGTTTTAAAGCCCTGCACCAAGAATTTTAGAATTTTAATCCTCCGCAGATTATGTTATTGACTTTTGATAACCTCATCTGGTAAACAAAACCATCAAAACCAGCAAAAACTTCCTGATGACATTTTGTATTACTTAACTAGATACATTTGACAGCCCTCCCTATACTAATGATTACTTTGATATACCGCCACTTTTGATACTGGAAGGGAATAAAAAAAAAAAAAATTAAATAGATTTTCCCCTCGATTTTCCTCGGGCATTTTCACCGTGGACTCTACTCTGCCGTGCTATAAGGAAAAACGCTGTGTGAGCCTTCAAATGTTGCCAAGTTTTCATCGATAAAAACTGGATTTACAGGGGAAATTGTGAATATTTTTTTCCACAATGTTCAGACAATTTTGTACGCAATTTAATCTAACACAACTGAAAATTTCAAAAAAAAATGTGCATGAATTTCGTCAAAAATACATGTTTTATCAATGGAAATTTGGCAACTCTCGAATGTTCATACGGCGTTTCTCCTTACCACGGCAGTAAGTGAGACACTACAAAATTAGATCACAACACCATAGTGCGCTTCATGGCATCTGCCATCACTGCATGCTGAACGACTAACGAAAAAAATAAGGAAAACTCGTGAAAAATACATTTTTTCTTTTACATTTTTTTTTAAAGGCAGGGTTGTTTTTCGCAAGTGGATAGTTTTTGCAGAATAATTAAAAATTATAAAGCAGGAATATTTTAACTAAATAATAAAAGGAGCTCAAATCTTCAATATAATGCAAAGCAAATCGGAAAATTCCGTCATGTAAATACAGAAGATTTGAAAACGCCTTCAATTGAAGCGTGATACCTCACGCGTTCCGGGGAGTTCAAATAGTTGTATCCCTGCGCCTTAGCAAGCCGATGGAAGTTTAATATTGAAGTAGCGTCCCCGCGTTGTGTTTCGGGTTTCCTGTGCTGCTACTGCAGTTTCGACCGTTAAGGCCGGAGTTTAAGGCCGCTAAAGCCGGGATTGTACTTCGCAAAAAGATAATTTTTGCAGAATAATTAAAAATTAAGAAGCAGGAATAATTTATCTAAATAATAAAAGGATCTCAAATCTACAATAAAATGCAAAAAAGTAAAGTAGTTTTAGGACGCTAAAGCCAGGGTTATATTTCGCAAATTGATAGTGTTTGCAGAATAATTAAAAATTAAGGAGCAGGAGTAATTTAACTAAATATTAGTAACTCAAATGTACATATAAAGCAAAACAATTTGGAAGATCTCGTCGTAAACCAACGTTAATTAACCCAAACGTTGCTCAACACCGCAGAAATAAATAAGTACTTAGTCGTATAAGTAATGGAATATTACGCGGAGAGAGGTATTATTTGTCAATTTTTACCTTTCCAATAATGCACAAATTTTATTCTTAAACTGCTTAAAATACAATCGGGGTCTTACTTTTTCACAATTTCTCGGGGAGGCCCCTCGGACCCCCATATCTCGGGGAGGGAGGGTGTCCGCCGACGCCCCCCCCCCCTCCCGAACGTAATCGGTTCTTTGGCTCTCATGTTCAATTTTTCACCGTGAATTTCCGTCTTTAACTGACTCAAACAAAGCACATCCATAACGGTCTGCAAAATAATTTCGAACCTGAAAAAGACAATCGGAGAGGAAAAAAGCATGGCGCGGTTTTGAAGAGTGCTTATTGAT